AACAGTGAGGCCCAGGCATCAGAATACAGCATCAGAAGTGAACTATAAGCCCAGAACAGCTTTTCTCCAAGCAGTGGTTCTCAACCTTCCTAATAGTGGACCCTTTAATACAGTTCTTCACATTGTGATGACCCCAACAATAAATTATTTTTATTGCTACTTCATAACTATAATTTTTGCTAATGTTATGAATCATAATGGGGCCACAACTCACAGGCTGAGAACCACAGTCTAACACAGTATCTTCTTAACAAGTTTTCTCTAATTGGTTGCCCTCTGTGAATCAGGAGTCTTCTCTCTACTCCCTTCTCCTCCTTTCCAAATTCCTCTGCAGGGAAAGTTATTGATGAACTTTTGTGTGATAAAATTAGGTCACATGGAAAATGAAAATGTATCTAAAGAATCACAAACATTGAAAAAGAACTCCTTTGGTTATGCTAATATAACGCAATAATGAATCATTTCTGGAGATGTTCTCTTTTAACAGCGAAAGAAAGGCAGGCAGGCAGGGAGGGAGGGAGGGAGAGAGACAGGGATGGAGGAAAGCAGGAAAGAAAGGAGGGAGGGAGAGAGGGTGAGAGAGAGGGAGGAAGAGTCCAATGTCCTACCCATTACATCACTAGGAGGGATAATCTCTTTGATCACATCTAATACAAAGCTAACAGATCTTGTGAAACTGTTTTAACTTTTGTGTAAAATCATTCTCTAACCTGTATTTTTCCCATGACCATATAGCATGTGCAAATCAGTAACAATGCCATCTCTGTACTATCTCAAGACAAAGTTACACTTCCCAATTATCCCACCCCTACCCCCAAAAACATATAAAGCCACACTTGTGAAGAAGGTAGAGAACTCTGTAGTCTTCTTCAAGACCATAGCATCCCTTTCAGGGCCAAAGGTTACAAAGTTTTTCAGTTTCCAGGTTACACCCAGCTACCCTTTTAATTTTTTTTCCCCCTGGTGAGTGTTAATGGCTTTATTTGGACTGACTTAATTTTCATAACACTCACACAGCACAGATCAGACTAGGACCTCTAACATTACTGCCCAGAATCCTGATGGCACTAGGACACAAACACAGGCTATCAGCAACAGCTGGAAGACTTTTATCACTTATCCCCTCATCACCTTCCAGCAAATAAGAGAACTCTGAAAAACGCAACAAAGCCATGGACATTGACCTGGTTTCCCTTTTCTCGTATACAAAATAAATATGCAAATCTGACTGAAAAGACTTGTATGAATCGATAAGTTATGTTTCCTAATCCTTGATATTAGTGATTCTTACCATTTGTTTCCACACACATGTGTTAGCTAGGAATAACTCCTGCCTGTAATCCCAATACTTAGGAAGCCAAGGCCAGCCTGGCCTCAAATAGTGAGTTACTGATAAGCCTGGGCTATAGAATGAGAACCTATCTCAAACAAACAATCCAAGTCTAACTTGTTTATGGAAGAGCTTCTTTAGAATACTGTTCTCTTTAACTTTAAAAAAGTCTATACTGAAGCCAGGTCTGGTAACACAAACGTTTAATTCCAGTTGAGGCAGGTGGATCTCTGAGTTCAAGGCCAGCCTGTTCTACAAAGCTAGTTCCATAGAATCCCTGTCTCAAATAATAACAAGTCTATACTGAGACAAGATGTCTTTAAAGACATATTAAGTTTGTAATTGTTCTCCCAAGTCTTCTTTTATTTCCTGTGTGTGTGTGTGTGTGTGTGTGTGTGTGTGTGTGTGTGTGTGTGTGTGTGTCCGCGCGCGCGCGTGCGCGCACGCGCGCAAGTTGTCTTACACCTCATCCTAGAGGAGTTATAGAGTGTTCTGCCACACCTAGATTTTTACATGGGCACTACACATAAAACCTCAGGTCCTCATGCTGGTGTAGCACTTTTAAGACTGACCCTCTCCTCAGACGATCTTTAGCTTTCTTAATTATTAAACTCTTCTCACTTAGGTTTTTTTCCTCATTTCAGGAGTCTGTGATCTCTACCGATTCTATCTGATATTACTTACTACCCCCCATCCCCACAAATGAACATAGTCAATTAATAAAATTTGAAAAGACTCTAGAAAAACCAGACCATCAAATCACCCATACTCAGAGACCAACATGTTTACCCCAAGGTAATGGGAACTGTGCTCCTTAATGTAAGGTAAGAGTGATCCTGCTACCAAATCCTTTACTGGCTAAGGGAGGCTCCTGGGGGTAACATTCCAGTTCCTGTGGTGCCTTCTGTTTTGAACACAGGTGAGACGGAAGGCAAGGGACAATCTATATGGCTATCTTTACTTCGGAATAAGCTGAATTCCAGTTCTTCCAGCACTCTTTGCTAGGGCAATGTCTCTTGAATTCATGGCTTAAAGGATTAAGCCAATAGTGACAAAATAAAAGCATTTAGTACCAAAAGACTTCGAAGGAAAGCACAGTTGTTGAGTTTTGTGCCTAAACAACATTCAAAGGTGTGTATGAAATGATTTTTACTCTTTTGAATTTTTGAGGGGCCCACCACCTAGCTCCCAAATAACTCACACACGGGAGGCTTATTATTACTTCTGAATTCCAGGGCTTGGCTTGGCTTGTTGCTAGCAAGCTTTTCTTAAAGTAAATTATCCCATCTACCTTTTCCCTCTGGGCTTTTACCTTTCTTACTTCCATATATCTTAGTTTCACTCTTACTCCATGGCTAGTTTGTGTGGCTGGCTGGCCCCTGACATCCTCCTCTCCTTGGTCTCTTGCTGCTCTCTTCTTCCTCATTTCACCTACTATTTATACTCTCTGCCAATCCCACCTATCCTTTCTTCTATCTCACTACTGGCTGTTCAGCTCTTTATTGGACCATCAGATATTTTAGACAGGCAAAGAACCACAGCTTCACAGAGTTAAACAAATGCAGCATAGACAAAAGTCACACACCTTAAAATAATATTCTACCACACAAAAGTTTTTAGGTGCTTTCTCTGCCATGCTACAGAACATGACAGAAATTTCTTTTGCGATCACTGGTTTTACGGCCCCCAATAATTCTTAAAAACATACTATCCACTGTAAGTAATTAACAGTTCTACTCTTTGTTTTCAAAGGACCTTCAAAGGGACAAACAAAAGAGTAGACAGAAATGCCCAAGGAGGAAGCCCATGTGTGACAATTTCATGTGAAACATTGATGTGTCTTACAAACGCCATTTGGTCTCGTCACAAATCAGCAAACATTCTAAAAGGGGGCCTTTGAAAGTTTTGCTCACTGAAGAAACGCATTCTTTCTAAAATGAAATTTCCATAAACCATCACTTACTCATACTAATTACAATGTATTCTGGTTTTTCAAATGCTGGTGATGACATGCTAAGTTGATCTCATAGTTTACCAGTGACTCACAACCCAACTCTAAAAGCCATCGTTCTAGAAGAGTCATAACATTTCAGAACATAGAGAAAGCTGCCAAACTCTAATCTTGACAGATTAATCACACACCAAAAGCATTTCAGGATGATCTGAGACAAAAACTAAATACACACACACAAAAGCAGTTATCTGCATTAAGAATAAGTTTCACACAAAGAGGAGAGGCTCAGAGCAAACAACGAAAATGATACTTGAGCCAGAGTTTCATCTCACAAGCTATATGTTCCCCTAGCACTAAACATATCACCCAACCCACAACATTTTGTGTGACAGAGCTCCCAATCTGACCTTTGATGAGAAGTCTGGATTTGCCCTACAGCATATGAGGAGGAGGTATCTCTGGAGCAGTGAGGATTGGTACTGGCACTTTGTCTTGACTCTGGCTATCCTGCTACACAGAACAATGCAAAGCCAGGTCAGGCAGGGAAAGGCCTCCTATCCTTTGCCAGTATTTATATAAGGGACAGCATGGGAAACAACGCAGGACAGAAAGAAAAGTATTCTAATATTGTCAGTGACCTTTCTTGACCCTGGTCTAACATAATGACAGCCAAAGAAAGGAGGGTACCGGGCCTAGTGGTCATGGACACACAACTGACAATACCAACTGAGAGGAAACAGAGAAGAGGGAGAGCCTCACAGCAAGTGATACTTCGTCTTGAAAATGGAATCAAATGCCTTCCAACAGTTCTACCACTATAGATGTGTAGGATGCCTTATACAGTGAGAGGTTAAAACAGATAACTGCAAAGTCCCTGCCGACCAACTCTGCAAATCTGTAATTATAAGCTTAAACCACATTATCAAACAACTGCGGTATTAGATAGTCAGATGCTTTTTCAGGCATCTGGAAGATAATCCTGCCCACCAGCAACCACACAGCAGATGATGCATTCCCTCTTTCCCAGCCGGTAGCTACCCCATGGGGGGGCAGTTTGACTTTCAAATTGAAAATAGTTTTACAGGTACATATGAATATTAAACTTTCAATATGCATAGTATGAAGGTACAACAAAGCGTCACTTAACACTGTTAAATACCAGCACTGGGGCTGGGGGCTGCCTTAGGAGGAGAGTGCTCCCTTGTCATGCAAGGCCTTAGTTCAGTCCCCAGCACCACACAGAAAAACAACAATTAAAAATAAATTTATTATAAAGACCACAAGGTGTACAGTGTTTCTTAGCTTTCTCTTTGGACTCGTTTTTCTATTATTTGCAAGCCTGAGTGCTTGAATACAATTTCTCTAAGTCAGCAATCACTACAGAGCACTGTAACAAAGCTTTCAAGGGCACTGAATATGTTGTTATTCAAATAACCTTTACGGTACTGTAGAATATATCTTTCCCTTAACTACTTTGATTACAGGCTAAAAAAAAAAAAAAAAAAAAAAAAAAAAAAAAAAAAAAAAAACTCCACAGATTCCTCAAGGACTTCATTTCCTTCTCCCCATTAGTTAAGGAAATTCACTGTTAGGCTACACCCTCCCTCTTTCCTGTTGGAATAGCATCCATGTCCTCTCATTTCTTACCAGGAAGCTGTCTGATATGAAACCCGAGAACTGCTAAAGGGGAGGAGAGGTGACAACAAGGCTACTCACGTCGGATTTGGAGGACATATTCTCCTCCACGTCTGAATCGTTGGGATCCACGATATCATCAAACGGTGGCAACGTCGACTTCTTCTTCTCTGATGTCTCACTCTCAATTTTGACCTTTCCCATCTTGACATGAGATTTATCTTTTATCTGTTTTTTGTCAGCAGAACAAGTGAGTATCAGCGGTGGCGCACTAGAAAAACTTTTAAATAAAGCCTCTGAACTACTCTTTTTCCTTTTTTTGGCTGAGAGTTCTTCAGAGTCAGAAACGGGGGGCCTTTTACTGGGAGCCTTCTTATCCTGCTGTCCACTGGTGATGGTGAGTAAGTTACTGTCTGCTTTTGGCTCTTTTGACATGGGTTTAGGTTCCTTGAAGGCCATCTTAGGAACTATTTTTTCTTCTTTCAGTGGTTTGTTTTCTTTGGGTTTCTTGGAGGAGGAGTCTTTGGAAGATTTGTTGTGATCCCTGGAAGGTTCTTTGAAGGCACTTTTATGTTCTCTGGAGTCTTTAGAAGGTTTTTCCTTGTGCTCCTTCATTAATTTGTGAGGCTTTGAAAAACTGGTACTGCTGCTGCTGCTGCTGCTGCTGCTGCTGCTGCTGCTGCTGCTGC